CGGGGTGACCGCGTCGCACCGTCAGACCAAGGCCATCCTCCGCCGGGGTCTCTCAAGGCTGCACTTTGTCTGTAAAAGGGGCCCCGACCCCCCCGCAGAGGCCTTTCCCTGGTAGTCACGCATCCCAAGGCCATAGATGAGTGTGAATCCGTCCCCCCCGAGTCAGGGTTACCACTCTCTCCCGCCGTCACCCCACGGCCAGCCGCCTTTATTCCTCCCTGAAACTCGTTCTCGCCCCAGGGCTTTTTACATTCTCTGTTCTCTCTGCCAGGGATGCCCCTCCCTCGGGTGTTTCCAGGTCGCTCACTGCATTTGGGCCTCAGCTCGAGTGTCACCGCCTCCAACGGGCCTTCCCTGGCCGCTCTGCCTGAAAGCGCGCACCCCTGGGTTCCCAGACTTCAGACTTCACCACTCCCCGGAGGTCATCACGGTTATTACCTCCCTCCTCCCACCTTCCAGCCTAAGTGGTGTGAGCCTGGGCACCCTGTCCATTGCTGTGACACGCTAAATATTCGATGAACGAACAAACAGACTCATGAAATGTCAAGCTTTACCAAGTTTTAAGTTCCTTCAGGGCTCTTCGAAAGGGCATAATTTCAGGGCTAAAAATAATACTGAGATTGTATTGACGGTTGTCAGAATGATACAGGGACTTTATAGGGAAGTTGTGGGGATTTTATGGAACAGAGAAGCATTCATCCGTTCATACAATTAATATTTACTGGGCACTTGATTGGGTAACGAGAAGTCAGGGAAGATGTCCCTGAAGAAGACACTGAAATGAGATCTAGAGGAAAAGTAGGAATTAAGGTGAGAGGGTGATTCGGGAGTTGGAGGTTATACTGTGATCACACACTTTTAAAGGAATTGTTCCCTTTTGAAAACAGGATTTGTAAGGCTTGGCAATAAGATGATGCTTGTACATAACTTGTTAGTAAAGGTAGGTACGGAAATGTTATACACAGTAACAACCCACAAAACGATGTTATTTCAGAGGCAGTATGCAGGTTTAAAAAATAATTTTGTATAGTTCTAATCACTGCAAGTATATTCTGCCATTTCCATGTCACATCAACCCATTAGTTGAATTAGGCCTATTTTAAGACATTATTTCACCTTGTGGATGTATCATACAAAGCATATTATTCCCTTGTTTTAAAACACAGATTTTTCAATTTTCTGCTATTAAAAATAACTTTAAAAGTAGATCTATTTTAAAAATCTATAAAAAAAATCTATTTTAAAAATAACTATTTCTTCCACCGCGGGGAGTCGCTCAGCGGTTGAGGGTTGACCCAGGATCCAGTAGATCGCAGTTCGATTCCCCATCAGAGCACATGCCCAGGTTGCAGGCTCGATCCCATCGGGAGCATGCAGGAGGCAGCCAATCAATGACACTCTCATCATTGATGTTTCTCTCTCTCCCTCTCCCTTCCTCTCTCTGAAATCAATAAAGATATGTTAAGAAAAAAAGAGCTTTCTTAAAAAAAAAAAGTACCCATGTCCTTGTTGAAAAGTAATAGTGCTATATTATGCTTCAATTTGCTTTTAAATTGCAGGGATAGGAGGGAATTGTTTCAAAGCGGCAGGAGAAACACCCACAGAGCCCACGAAGCCCGTGCTGCAAAGGCTGACTCAGATCAGGTGTGCGCGCTGGGGCGGGGCGGGGGTTGTGGCGCGTACCGGCCGAGCGCACGGTCCTGGGGAATCCCACACTTAGCCACTAGAGGGCGAGGCGCACAGAAAAACCCAAGCTGGAGCCTCAAGGCACTCAGCCCTCATCAGAGGCCACTGGGATGGGTGGTTTGGGAAGGTACCTAGGAGTCCATTTCTATAGATGCATTGCTCTCTCAAGGGCAAAGCTGACCAATGTCATCAAATGGGCCAGAGGGACTTCTGGTTCCCGCCAGCTTTTGAGACAGCTGTCCTAAGCTAATCACAAAGGGAGGGGAAAGGGGGTCGCCTTGGTGCAGAGCACTGTGCGTCCTGAGCTTCCCCCAGATGCACTCATTCACTTTATGGAAATCCGGTGGCAGCAGCCTCAGCAGCTGAGTGGGGAGGAGACACGTGTTCAATCCAGGGTCAGGGTCACAGAGCTGGAGAGTGGGGAGTCAAGACTCTAACACAAGGCTGACCCCTAAGCTTGTGCTTTTCTTACTCAGGGTTCCCACTAATCACTTCCTATTAAAAGGAAGTCATTGCTTGACCGTTCCAGTTGTCCAGCCTAGTGGCGTCTCTGGAAAGGCTGGGTCTTCTTGCAAGGCCTCTACCTGCAACTCCCCCCCCACACACACACCTATTTCTCTACCTTCTCTTTTGACCAGACTGTACGGAAGCAGGAAATGTCATTCTAAAACAGACTGAACTGGGCAGGCAACGGCCAGCAGCTTTCAGAATTCTCTTAGTGGGCAATGTGTTAACTTGATTTCTCTTTGTGCTTACATTTAAAAAGTCCACACAAATAAAACAGCTCAATAAAAAATATTCATTACCTGACAACCTTTATTCAGGAAGTGAGTTACTCTGAAACAGTGCTTCATAAGGCGCGTCCTACCAGGCCTTTGTGTCCGACATGTGCCCGGGCGCTGCCAAGTTCCATACTCTCACACAGGCAGCCTGTTTAAGGTGTTATCCTGGCTGGGCACAACATGGTGGTCACATCTCAGCCAGTTTTATTTTTACGTGGGCAGAGTGACCAGAGAAGGCAGATCCTTCATCAACCAGGCATCCTGCTGAGGTCCCAGATCCAAAGTCTGGGCGCTGTGCTGTCCATGGCCAAGGCCCGCTGCAGTCTGATTTACAAGCACAAGAGCCTGCAAGAGCCCCACCCCGTCCCGTCGGGGCAGCAGGCAGTCTGCTCCACTAACGACGGGATTCCTCCCCTTCCTCCACGCTCTCAGAATCTTCCGTGGATGAAAACAGAAACGAAACCCAGAGG